CCTTTCCCTATCCCGAATGACCCCTTTCGTTAGTGTGAGATTGTGTCCTTACTAACAACAAACTTTTATATGATCTGTACAGACAGGACCTAGAGAGAGAGGGTTTAGAGATTCGATCACACAAAATTCAGAATGATCCAATGGTGAACCACCTACCGCTGGACCAGGGCCGAACCCTAATCCAAAACGAGTACCGTTAAGGTAAAGTACCGAGTAAGTCGATCAAAAAAAGTACAATCAAAATCGCGAAAGAATTCCACAGATTGGAGATGCAAAGATCATTCCCACGCCTGCGGTGCAACAACTTTCCCAATGGATTAATCACGCGCGGCAACAGGAGGGGGTACTGTAGAATAATTGACAGTGGTGTCCTAAACACTTACCTCGATCGATTTCAATAGCGTCTTTATGGCCGTATCGTAACTTCTCCGTAAGAGATAAGCCTCTCCGAGTATTTCCCAATAGAGACTGAAATCGCAAAGCGGAAAAAACCAAGTGGGTGCATTCTATGGCGAACGAAAAGAGAAACCTCATGCCAGTTTCCGTATTTCCTAGGAGATCAACAACTTCCGTACGTCTCGAATAAGAATGATCTCAGCGTCATTGTTCAAGACGACCTAAGCTGTTCTTTAAACTGCTCCCGGGCGTCATCTACCACTGTAAGACACGTTGGTTTGCTAAAACGCGTATTTGGCAAAATTGAACCTACGCTGTTCCCACGATTGTTATCAGCATACACTCGACCCCACATGGAGTACGCTATTCAAACATGGAATCCATGGCTGCCACGCGATCAGAAGATTCTGGAACGTCCACAAAGAATGGCCACCAAAATGGTCAAAGGACTGCATTCCAAGAGTTATGCGGAAAGACTGGAAGCACTGCAACTGTACTCCACACAGTATCGCTGCATTCGAGGAGACTTGATCTTGGTATACCAAATAATGCAAAACCCAGACCATCCATGTCATCCATTTTTTCATTGTCGCTTAACCCTCACCTGCGGGGGCACTCATTCAAATTAGTGCTCCAAAAATGCCGGCGTCATTCATTCACCCTCCAAGTGTGCATTACTTGTAATTCTCTACCACCCACAATTGATTCATTCAAGCACAAACTGGATGAAGCTTTGAAAAGTCTTAAATTTCAACATCCGTAGAAGCGCACGAAAAGCACCGGGTATCGTTTCACGATGAATCAGCATAGAGGAAAAACAACTGCTGTAAGATATCAATCTCTCATTTACTCATTTCAAAAGCTTACTTAAAACTAGCTGGAATAAAAACTGCAATAAACGAAAATAATCGGTGTGAGAAGGCGTATATGCACAATAAACTGGGGTCATGCCCATGACGGAAAAACAGAATACATCAAGGTGCCAGGGAACAGGTACAGTGGAGCTGCACCCATATGAAGAAATCGTCCTCTTTTGCAATGCCGCTACTTCAAGTGATTCTCTCACATTCTCCAACGACGATCGCTTTCGAAAGCCTCAGTATGGTCAAGTGTCTCGGGTTGTGCCTAGGCACATGTCCGTTGCACCTCGCGAATTGCTGCTATACGACCAAGCGTCTTTAATACTTTCTGCCGAGGAGGTCCTGCCTTCACGAATCCGTAGATGTTTTCCCACAAAAGTAAAAGACCGAAAAGCCAACATCTGGGGCTATAACTGAATCGAGAACTACCAGCAACCAACCTGAGAAAGCTGGCTAAAAACCCATATCAAACAGGCAAAGACGCAGGGACAAGACTCACATTTACCAGAACGCCAGTTATAGACTTATTTCTCCGTTATCAAGATTGTTGTACCGCGATTTGATTGGCACACAGTCGGGACACAGACATATGAAATATAAGCATATACGAACCCGAACGGTTGAGATTTGGGGTTACAAAAACAACCAGTCCATCAAGTCGATTACACAAGATACTTATATCTACAATTGCTAGCTATCTGCTGCAGACTAATCCCCAGGTCGATCCATCAATCGCATCAATTCTCCCTCAATATGTCCAGCGCGTTCGACTGAGTTCAGCANCCCGGGAGAAACTCTCCAATTTTGTCTGTCCTTATATTTCTCTACTTGAATATGAAATCTTCGTTGAAACTATTCGATCTTGATTCATATTGGAGGAGTCATTTCGGTATTAATTCCAGCAAACTCCGGTCTCCTAAAAGGTCCATAGTATCTCCCACCTTATTCCTTCTCTCCATGGACAAAGGTTCATGCCGAACACTTGGCGTCGACCATTGCCGACGATGCAACCTTGGTTATTGATCTCTTCTCTCCTTTACACGCGGCTGAGGTCAGACTGTGTACTAAACACATCACGGTACAAGAATCTCTGTGACAACTAAGTCGGTTCATGGCTATTAGTACTACCACACAGGCGTTTTAAAGCTCTCCACATGCTATAACATCTGAATTTACCCAGAATGGTATCTACGCTCAACTTGTTGAGGCGATAAATTTTAGATTTGATCAATCTGGCAAGGCTCTTCAGTTTGGTTCTCCGTCCATGTTTAAAGGCTCGTTTTATTCTCATGCGTCACTTCTAATGATCGTAATAAACACCAATTAGTGCAACCGAATGAATTTGCAAGCGGGAAGCAGAAGAGTTTTGTTCTGAAAACAGAAAATCGGATGCGGTAATCAAAGATCCTAACTTTTTCCATTCCTTTGATTCATTGTCTTGAATGGTAGTCTTAACATTATGACCCCGGTTCGTCTTACTACAGATATATGGTGGAACACATTTTTTCTGAGGTATGTCTCAGATGGATAAGAAACTCACGCGTTTTTAGGATCCAGGATGATCACCTTCTGAAGGGCGGGTACCGCCTTCAGTGTATTTCGTAAATGCAACGCAATTAGGCCGTAATTCAACCACAGCTCCTTGGTGAATAGCCTAAGAATCCATGGGAAGAGAATATATGAAGCGGCGTATTTAAATCAAGATTAAAAAGAAACCGTTCGTGATGATGAAAATGCTTACATTACACGGGTTANCACGGGTTAACCTACAAAATCCAAAAAGTGTTCGTCCTAAAGCTGACCTAGCCGCTTACATCCCTTGGTCTGTTTCTTTGCCAAATCCAAGGTATTTCACAACCTCAGAAAACCATAGTGTGTTACATTCTCAAACGACGCAACCCGTCATGCTGATAGTTTACCGACCCATTAATCTCTTACATGTATATCAATCACATTTACTCGTGAGTAGTTGTATGGGATAACTGATATTGATTTGAATTGACTATCCTTCAGACATCAACTTCACGCACAATCCTCAGTTTTTTCAATCAACGATACACTCGGAAGCACTTGACCCGCGCTTCGCTCTTATTAGAGATTATCGGTAGTGTATATCCAACGTCCCGTCCGGGCTTTGAACTCAAGACCCATCGTAAGGAAGGCATGTGCGCCACCACTGTGCCAAACAGCCCATACCAGGGCTAAACCGAATTGCCCATCCAGGTTTTTGATTGTGGGTGGCTGATTACTAAACCTTCGAGGTTCGAACTCATGTTGGAAACAGCAACAGTACATTCTTTTATCTGGTCATATAGAGCAAATGCAGTGGCCGCACAAAGACGTATTTCTATACGAATTTTGGGATATCATCCCGTCTGGCTGAACACCGATGAAACTAAATCCATCACCGGGGCCATTTCTTCACACTGTCGAATCTAAGCACGCCATGAGCGTGAATGACGCATTTCATCCACTACATTGTGCTTCGGAGTCGTCGATCTGACGTGAATGGAAATCACAACCCGCATACAGTCCAAGTGGTCGGAATAGGTTCGAATACTCCTCTGCGTATACGAAAACATTCTTCCGTGAACCCCGTAATCAGCACTTAACACGCAGTCCTCCACACTACCTCATGCCAATAATGCGGTCTAGGCGAAATTCTGATCGCAAGATCAACCACATCCGGTTTGTGGAACTGGGACAAAATAACCCTTTGCCTGAAGTTTCCTACAAAACCGTTGCGTCATACCATGAGATGTAGGAGATAGTTGATGAACTATAGAACAAGCTTTATCGCTAAAGTGTTTCTTTCAATGCGCACTCCTGGTACTTCTTGGGATGTGAAATTTCATTGATACCACAATTCGTCAGCTGAAACGACCTAAAAAGATGGCTATGACGAGTTCAGTTTACTAGGTTTTGATTTTACCCTAAAAATAGGTTGTACTTTTAGCACACGGAAAGAGGTCATACCAAATCGACTATCTAATAAATACATGGAAACAAGTGAGACCATGGGAGAAGGGCGGACTTTAAGCTCGTACTCCCAGCGAGAATATCGCCGCTCGTAAGTGACAGTGAGTTAAAACGCGAATCGCAGTGGTAGGAGCTAGAAAAGAATGCAGGATAAAACTCAAGGGAAACGGGACTTACTTTGGATTTATATCGGCGTAGCAGTCGAACGCTTTTTGCTGCAATGAAAGAAAATATTACCAGAAAATTATTCATGTACAGCAGTGGCAAATGATTAAAAAAATGTGCAGAAGTCGCAACGTGTGTGCGAGCACAGTTTACGTCAACACGAAGCTGGAATGAACGGCAGTAAAACTGCCTCAGGTAAAACACAAGAACAAGATGACAACCTGAAAAAGTAAGATTGTTGGGGGACATTTAGTAGTACTTGGATGCACACAAAAAATGCCCAGACATTTTCTTGGTGCAGAATAAACACAGGCTGGTACGAACACGATCATCACAAAACATACCAGTTGACGGTCTTGACAGAGTGCCACCGAGAGCTCATAGGCACAATCCGGTGAGCGAGGGCAGGTCATTTTGGCTTGTGCGAGCGACTTTAACGCCTCCCTGAAAACAGTTTGAGCAATGGCACAACAGAACAAATGACTGGACGAATTCGATTTTGCTAGTTGACAAAATATCTTTCCGAAATACAGAATAGAAGATAAACGTTGTCTTACTATTCCGGTGAGACATGTAACGGAAAAGAAGTACAATTGGAGACATGTACTGAAATTCCGGTGGTTATGTTAGTTACTATTTGCGGATTTGCAAGTAGCAGATTCTTTGCACAACTGAAGACCACATTTTAGATTCGGTGGACATGTGTCGACGGTGAGTACCGGCACAAAGGTAGCAGCCTTACTGTGTGCATATGGGGTCGTACAGAGAAGAAAAGAGTGCATTGATTATTCAAGACAAATACAAAAACCCAATAAAATACTATAAGTCACAGAGACACTATTTCTCGGACGGCGTGAATGAACTAAATAACTTCCTTGCAGTCACTTTCATCAGCATACATTCGCGTTTGAACGGTAATTGAAAACGAACACTGTGAATGAACTGACACTTCTAGCCTTTGGACATTCAAGAACAGATTATAAAACATCAGGATTACCAATGCAGTCGAGTTGGTGGCCTATGATACAGTTCATTAGGTCCTTCCAGTGGAGGCAGCGCGATAGGAGTAGTGACCTAATTTAGTGGAGGATCGGAATAGCCACGTCGCAGTGCGATCTAGAGTCTTATGGGGTGCTTTATAGTGGAGACAGCTAGCCAAGCCAAGTCCCACCACGTTTGAGAGCACTGTGACTGACGTTCAAAACTGATTATTTAGTGAATCTAGACTCAACCTATCTACGCTTAACCACCAGATGAGTAACCGACCCCCTACCTGTGATCAGAGGTCCCACCAGGTAGCAAACAGCTATCGCAATCCTACACAGTAAATCCAATACCAACTTCTATTAGGCGCATGAAAATATATCAGAAACGATGGGACAGGGAGATGAATTTTACCGCAAAATCTGGATTCTCTTGGGGAAGGAAACCTTGTTAGTCAAATCAAAATTCACAGACACATTGGTCAGAAAACTTTGGTGCAATTTCACCGATGCGACCGAGTGATCCAGGTGGCAGTTATCGATCGTGTAACTCGCAACTGATGGTTTCAGGTGTCCAAACAGGAGACCGGCGATTGGAGTCCCGGAAACGAAACAAAAACTATGCATTGTTGTCAAATCTCATAATGGGGTGTTGGGGTTTTTGTTCGTTGTAGTACTTATGGTTCAGGAACTTGCCATGTTCCTACAAAATAATATCTTTCCTTGGGCCCTCATCAGTCACCCCAATTGCACTCGTCGCCCTATGAAGTTGCTGACATGTTGCACGGTCACACCCAGGGAAACTCTTCGCAGGCGAGTTAAACCAAACGCGCCTGGCCGGTGTTCTGGGAAAACGGTGAGTTGCGGCTTCATTTATGCATGCGAACTGGTTTCGACAGACCGTACGTACGAGATCGAATTTTTCATCTAAACGCTAAAATGTTGATGTCAATCAAAGCGCATCGCTGAAAAAAACCCTGCAGTCTTGTGGGTCACATTGTCGAATAAAAGACGAACGAAATTGGGGACACTACTCATACCGGAAACGCCATGAGCTGCAACACAAGGGAAATAACAAAAAATTAGGAGATCTAAAAGCCTGTTTTTATCACGGGAACAAGAAGACAAACTAAGTATTCCGGCAGCGCATCCAAAGTAACTGATGGTACTCACTTCAATTTGCCCATACGACGATATATCCGACCTAGAGACAAATGGTTTGCATAATACCCAGGGTCAGCCCCAGCTCCCGCCACGTAACAATCCTCTTCGACAGGCTGAGAGAGTCTCGGTTCCGTAGCAGCGGTTTTCGAGCACAAGGACAATCGGGAAATCATTCGACCGAAGAGAAAATGCTCACGTGATGTTTTAGAACAACCGAAATCCTCCATCAGTGCGAAGATGAAATCAGTCAGCTCCTTTAAACGATCTTGAAGTAAAAAATCCGAATTGAATACGAAGTCGATCAGTGAAATTCCATTTCATTTCTTAAGCTAACCGTTAACCGTTGTTTGTAAATAATAATAGGAGAAACAATGCGAAAAAGGAAAAGGGTTCCTTAAAAACATTTGCAGGTTAGTTAAATCTATAAAAATTTTCACCATTTTTACACTTATTATTACTGGTATTTTTAGTACTACTATCAGCATTGTTACTACTTTTTTATTAGTGAGAGCGACTTTTTGGAAAAGGAGAAAAACTCGATAGCCAAAGACATACTGCACTAGGGTAGGAGCTAAGTGGAGAGAAAATCCCAGTAAAAAACGAGTTTCTGGTATTGTTGTTGAAGAGAAGAAAGTGGTGAGCGGTCAGAAATATCGAAAGAAGAGCCTGTACGATTTCGTACTATCGGGAAAAAGAGTACCACAAGAGTACCACAACATGGAGGTCAGATATCTGGAGCAAGAAACCCGACAAGGATGGCTGTGTCTGTGATCGAGATGGACGAGAAAAACAGATAGGGAAGAGAACACCACCATCATACAGCAAAATGTAGCAAAGCGAACCTCACTTCCATGCTCACAAAACTTGCTAAGTGAGAATGGTAAACGTGGACAGAGAGTGAGCCGGTTTTGACGGAAAGGACCAGAAAGAGAAGGGAATCGCCAACTTAAGTTTTGAAGAACAGAATTNGGCGATGGGAGACTTCAGATGGAAGGTTAAAGGTTGATAAGTCGGATGATTTTACGTTGACCGTGGTAGAAAAGAGAAAAATCAGAATAAGGAGTTCAACTGTGCATGTCATATCATTATTGGAGCGCCGGACGGATTTTAGCTTTGTGCGAAAGTAGAAGAGTCACGTGCCTAGCGCGAGAAGCAAGTGTGGATGTAAGCAGAGACCAGAGGAGAAAATTTATGGATAAACCAGAGAGAGAATCTATGGAACGAAGGACCAATATATTAGAAATAAATTGGGGGAATAAGGGATATGCTTAGGGTAGAATGAGAGGATTACACATTGGGAGCGTTGAAATAGACATGGTTTGTGGAACGCCATACGAAGGTGAGTCTAAGATGTAGAGCAAGTGATGCACATTACGATGTGAATCGACGTTTGTAGTGGTGTGACGGACCGTGGGGTAGATAGCTAAAAATGAAGTGGCATCGTAGGTGAAACAACCGATGGCATAGGAGGGGTTAGACAAAAGACTGTTGACAAGCAGAAGAAAGTGTGGCACCATGCGAAACACCAACATCCACAGGGAACGGTCGAGGCATGAGCCCATCCACTTAGATGATGGTCGGCTGGCTGAGGAAACACTGCAGCTACGATGAGAGAGTAGCACAGAATTTGAATGTGGGTATTTTTGACAGGTGACTTTCGTATCAAACTCGGCTGAAAGCCTTTTAAATGTTGGAGTTTATTCGTAAAAGCGAGCAGGTCACATAAGAGTCTGTGCTGACGATTGTTTAACAAACCTTAGTGTTCGAGGAAGGTACACAAATAGTCGGTTTCAAAAACCTTCGAAGTTTTGGAGCTAAGGGTGATGAGACGACTGGAAGTGAGATCAAAAGAATAGCCACGTTTCGAGATAAAAAGAGTTACAACATCTTCCCAGGGAACGGGAAAGATTTGTGTCTAAGAAAATAACAGCTGAAAACAGGATAACCTTAAGGCCGATTGTGGTGATTTTGTTATACCTTTACACCACTTCATACCACTACATCACCGTTTACTGATAATGTAGATTTTCTATCTTTTTATTGTAGCTGATGTATCTACATTGTTAGAAGATTAAAGCCTCATTTCCGGCTGTCCGTTTTTTCTCCCTCGTTCGTCGCTCAATCATTCGAGCTCATCATACAGATATTTATAGGACGACGGGTGGAATACAGTTCTCAACTACTTCTAGCTGATCACCACAGAGGGTGAGTGCAGGCACAGGCTCCTGCTAGCCTTGAACCAGCACTTTGCACTTGGAAGGTGCAAAGCACATACCATACCTGGATACCTCGATCGTCAAGCGGTTCAAAGCGTCTTGGACTGTCTGTGTGTTGTCACCCAGCAGGGCGATGTCATCGGCATATTCCAAGTCAAGAACCCTATTCCCTGGGAGGAATTCGACTCCACCGTTTGCTAGACCGGACAAAGCATTCTGTAGAGCATCCTCTATGACAAAGTTGAAAAGGAATGGGAATATGGGGCAGCCTTGTCGAACTCCACTGGAGACGGCGAAGGGTGGCGGAAGTTGGCCATAGGCCCTAACCCGACCTGAGGTATGACGATACAACTCTTTGAGGATCGACACATACTTCTCAGGTACTCCATTCCTCAACAAACAGTTCCATAGTGAGGTTCTATCGACAGAGTCGAAGGCCGCGCGAATGTCCAAGAATACAATGACCGTTGGTCTTTGGTAGGCATGACGGTGCTCTAGCAGCTGTCGGAGGGTGAAGATTTGATCGATGCATCCACGACCAGCGCGAAACCCAGCCTGCTGCTCACGCGTAGTGTACAATCGGCAGAGAATGACGGACGCCAACAGCTTCGACGCTATCGGGGTTAGGCTTATACCCCTTCGAGTGGCGCAATCATTGCGCGGACCCTTTTTGAAGATGGGGACAACAATCGATTCCCCCCACGAGGAGGGGACTTGCTCAGTGTTCCACACCTTGGAGAACAGGACGTGGAGTTCTCTAACAAGCTTTATTTCATCATCTTTAAATAGAGCAGAGGGAAGACCATCGGAGCCCGGCGCTTTGTGACGTCCCAAGGCTTGGATCTCCTTACGGACTTCCGCCTTAGAAGGTGGGTCTGTTGTGACAGACCATGGGACGTGTGCCGGAATAGCTGTGTGAGGAGCTGACACTGGTGGCCAGCTAAACTGTGCTTTGAAGTGCTCCACCCAGCGTGCAAGACGTCGTTGTTGATTGTGAATGGGCGAGCCGTCAGCTTCGCAGATCGTTTCGCTCACACCTAAGGCTTTCCTACTGGTGACCCGGATGAGATGAAACAGCTTACGGGAGTTTCCCATGGCGGCAGCACATTCCATTTCTGACGCGCGTTTAGTCTACCAGATTTCGCGGTCTCTGCGTAGGATTACGTTGAGGTTACGACTCGTTGTTCGTCATATTTCATTATACTCGCTGCCGGTCGGGATTGATCGGCGTGCGTCGAGAAGCCGTAGAGATTCCCAAGAAATCCAGGATGTCGCGGTACGACGTGTCAGACCACAACTAACTAAGCCCGCAGAATGCAAAGCATTCTTAATAAGCGACCAGTGCTGGCTAAAGTAATCGAGTGGGTTTGATTCTAGCTTTTCAGCTAGCGCGTTCTGAAAGATAGTTGGGCGTGCTGGTTCAGACAACTGATCATAGTCTAACCGTCGACGTGTCAAGCGTTTGGAACGCCCACCGAAGCTCATGGACAGCTTGGCGCAAACTAACGAGTGGTCAGATTCGAGGGGAGTGCTCCAGTACGATCGGTAGTCTTGTATACAACCCCGCCATTTGTAGCTTATAGCGATGTGGTCGATCTGCGTCCGTATCTGACTCGAGGAGGGCGGACGCCAAGTGGTGTACCTGCAGTTGGAGCGTCTGAAGTTCGTACTGGCGAGGAATAGGCAGGGGTCGGAACAAAGAGCCAACAACCGTTCCCTGTTTTCCGAGCGACAGGAATCTAGTCCGAAAGGACCACCCGGATGCGCCTCAGTCGAAGTCAGTCGGCCTACTCTAGCATTCATATCTCGTGCAAAAAACACGATATCAGCTCGACTCGCTTTACGCAAGAGGTCTTGTAGGTTATGATAAAATTCATCTTTGACTGCATCTGGGCTGCAGTCTGTCGGGATATACGCCGACACGACAAAAAGGTTTCCTCTGTTGGGGCGACGGCTGTTTACTTTGCACGAACCTCTAAGTCTCACTGCGCACAGCCTACTGTCGACTGAGAACTAGTCCAGGAGCGCCGCTTCAGCTCTCTCACTGAGAGCCACACCAACACCAGCAAGACCGGAAGCCGCAGCCTCAGGGTCCCCAGAGAGGCGTAAGTGAAACTTCATAGATTGGTTAAATGGGGACGTCAATCGGATAATTGAGCTGGAGTCTTGAATGCGAGTCTCTTGGGTACAACACACATCGATGACTAGGGTTTCGAGCGTACGAGCTAAACCGGTCTGTTGTCTTATACGCATCAGAGTTCGCACATTAAATGTGGCTAATTTGAAAGGGCATCGAGGGCGAAGAAGGGCTTCAACTGGTGGAGGAGTCGGTGAGACTTGGACGATAGTCGAGATAGGACATGAGGGAACAGCGGCAGATTTTCCATCTGAGGCACTAGTGTTTGCACGGTCGCCTGAAGAATTCGAGAGAAGTAAGTTAAGAGGGTGAAGGTAGAATTGGGTAGGGCTCGGGGGACATGAGTGTGTGTACGGTGTAGAGTGTTTGTCTGTTGGTGTGGAAATGGCAGACTGAATGTACATGGAAGTCAAAGAGTTTATCATTGCTGTCGTTGTGGGCTGTTGTACTACTCGGTCGACCAGTCCAGAATAGGCCTTGTTCGAGGGTGCACTCTAGCTTTTGCGCATCCAAGTGCAGACTGCAAGGCAGCAGCGATATTCCGTATGAGTCGGTGGCCAGTAATTGGTTTATTCGCCTCTTCTGGAAAACCTTGTCGAGCAATGGATCTCGACAAGGAGCAATGACCATATTTAGTGGCGGGCCACACTCGCCACATCACAGCGCTGTCCACAGATATATATGGTGTTTTGTGCGGAGAACCTTTGCCAGGGGTAAACCCACCACATCTTCGAGCGCTGCCGCTGATCGTTCGCGACCGCTTATTCGGAGGGCCGAGGCCCACCTTATTCGTGGTTATCCGTGAGATGACGGTCGTTCCCCTATCCGCGACCTGGGGACTGAGTGTCACGAATGCGGCACAATGCGTAACGGGGGACACTGCACATGTCGTGGCGTCGAGCAGATCCCGGTGGTATTAAATGAATAGATTAGTAAAGCTAAGTAACCCAAAGTAGCACTTGATTAAAACCAATAACTCCGAAAGCCTCAGTATGGTTGGGGTGAGTGTCTCGGATTGTGACTGGTCACCCTTCCCTTACACCTCGCGAAATGCTCCCATACGATGAAGCGTCTTAAATAGCTTCTGTTGAGGAAGCTTCACTCACTGCCTTCCCGTGGCGGAGGTGTTTTCCCACCAAAGTGAGAGTACGAAAAGTCGACATCCGGGGCTATAAACGGCTCGGTGAACCCCTGGCAGTTTACTTGAGGGAGTTGGCTAAAATCCCTGATTCCAAACCAAACGAAGNAAGAAGAGGTGTACGAACCACAAATACCCAAATCTTCCTGGTGTTGGTAGTGATCAATTGGGCATCGAGGTATAATGGATACCTTGGGTGTTTGACCCCGTCCAAAGGGCGTATGATCCGATGAACTGGACACCGGCCACCAGTGGACTGCGGATTTTAAATGCCCTCTTGCTGTCTTGCAGGTTTGGCTTTCTAGCCAAAGGCTTCGCGTGGGGACTCCGAGGTTATCCCTCTTCCTCGATCAAGGCAACCGGGAAGTAACATACACAAACTTTAGGCGCATTCTACAGATTTTTTATTCAATATGTTGTGGCACATTTGTCAATGTTATGTAATTGGTTACGTGTTGAATTGATTGACTTTGATTATACTATGACCCAGATTAAGTTGACCGAAATTAAACGAGGTTCTCTTCGGAGAATACAACAGGAAAGTATAACGCAATTTTGAGGTCACTACCTAATCACCTGTGGTAAGCGAAAGGAAACGAGAATTCCAGCCTAAAAATTATTCCAGTAAAAGTACTTTTGTCAACGTAGATTCTCAGCTTTGTCGTGATTACGAACGCCCTTATCACACCTTACGCGTTCTCGCGCCTCAGTGGGCAACAGCTCGCGAATTTCAAATTGAAAACCAAATCCAAAGGTTGTCAGGGCCATCCTTGAAATTCTGTACGAATGAGTAACCCGGCTGCCTTTACACACAAGAGCACTTAAACGATTGCCTTTCGTTTTGTGCTTCATATGGGCTCAATTCGCAAGAACGTTAGGATCGTGGTTTTTACATGAAAATTTTGTTCCATCTTACTCGCGTTCAGATCATAACGGTGCCAAGTTTGTAGCAAATCACTTGAATTATTGGTGAGGAGAACTTCCACGCACCAGTTCGTCCAGCACAAGTGCTCAACAGTACGTGGAATGAAACAGTTTTCCTGTCACCGGCAAAAGTATCAAACTTTGTTTCCATTTTAATAACCATTAACCATGCACTTTCATGAGTCGGTTTTGATCGCCGTCTTTCGGTGCCCCATTTGGATAAAAGAGCAGAATGAAGATCGGAATGTTGAAAGCAAATCCAAGTGGAAGATGGAGAATTCATATAAAATGGCGTTAGGGAATAATGAGTGGATGCACGAGCACCACTGTTTACGAGATCCAGCCATATCACTCAGTGTATCTAACCATCGGTGACCATCATCCCAAGGTCCCCAGCCAGGGAGCTTAACGGGACCCACGGTCCTGGTTAGGGTTTTCATACCCTCATGCCAGGTCTTAGTTTGA